CTCTCTCTCTCTCTCTCTCTCTCTCTCTCTCTCTCTCTCTCTCTCTCTCTCTCTCTCTCTCTCTCTCTCGCTCTCGCTCTCGCTCTCTCGCTCTCTCGCTCTCTCTCTCTCAAGATACACGAGTATCGAACAGTCCTTTATGAAACGTTACATGTTTACATACATTCTCATGTATCTAGACGTGGCAAGTGTTTCATTCACCTGACTTTTCGAATCTGAGAAGCCTATATTCCAAAAACCAGGCGGTGTTGACGGTCTGTGTTGGTTGTCCTTGTGTTATGAACATTCTTGAACAATCCCATGTCGCTGTTTTCCGTACACACCCAACTCGTCATGGAAACGTTTGCACTCGTTACATTCATGGTCGTTCAGCAACTCTCTGTTTTTTTTTTTCCTGCATGTCTATATACATTTCTGTTTTGGAGGTTTTTCGTCTTTTGTGATGTTCCGTGCTTTACTGGTATCGATATTACTTGTTTGTCGGGATTTTTGGTCTTTGGATCCATTGTTGGCATCGCCTCGTAAGCCATCCCCGTACTCGTGATCGTAAATAATGATGTCTTTGTAGTTTGGCCGGCATGCTCTTGCACGCTCTTGGAAACCAGAATACGGAAGCAAGGGATCTCGTTTGTTTTTCCCTTCATTGTTCGCCGCCATTTCCGGCTTTCACAGCAAAGCAAGTGCCGCGTCCGCGTCACGTACACTTGCTACCACTGCCTCCATTGATTTGTCGACTTTACGCAAACTCTCATTAATAGCAGCCAGCCTCTCCTGAGCATTGCAGTTCGCGGTGTTTTGTACTGTGGACTTCATTATCGTACACTGCAACACGTCGCGAACCAACATTTGTGTATTACAAGAAGATTGTTGACCCTTGGTAAGTTATGTCGTTGAACTTGTGTTGTTTGCAAAATTATTGATACAAATAGCAAGGACTTTCATTCATGAAAACGTATACGGTTTCGATAGACAGCTTGATTCATTTATGGATTCGTCTCATAATCCGATAAACTGACTGAATTATTGATTGAATGATTTATTGATTAATTAACTTATTGACTGGTTGATTGAAAGAATGATTAACTGATCGATTGATTCATTTATGGATTGATTAGTTGACTGATCGATTGATGGACATATCGATTGATTGATTGAGTGGTCAACTTATTGACTGATGGACCGATTGACTGATTGATTGATTGATAGATTGAGTGTTTGATGGATTGATTGATTGCTTGGTTGGTTGATTGGTTGATTGATTGGTTGACTGATTGATTGCTTGATAACTTGGCTGGTTGATTGATTGATTGATTGCTCGATTGTATGGCTGGAGGGAAGGAAACGTGCATGCACATCATGAATGGACAAGTGCATGGATCGACGGACAAATGAATTGACGGGTGGAGGAGGTAAGGAAACCTGCATGCACATCATTAATGGATAAGTGAAGAGGAGCGAGTTGATGGTACCCGAAGAAAAGAGTTGCCCACAGCTTTCGGACTACGCATGAGAGGACCGGGTTGATGGTATGTTGGCACTTTCGCAGTGTTGTCCGCAACCATCCTCAGGCCACACACTGCGCACGTCTCCATGGAAAAAACTTCGGTGTTGCAGTGGGGGGTCGAGCTTGGAGAAGAACCATGCATTGCTGGCTAACCTGTCCACATGCTTGTCCGCAATGACTGAAACAATGTGCCTCAGCATTTGACCGAGCATGTCGACGTTGGGGGGTTCGCAAGCGTCAGGAATGACATTCGAAAGCTTCTTAGCATGCATCACAACCTCATCAAGGCGAGACCGAGCGTCGTAGCCCAGCCCCGCCACGACCCTCAAAGCGAGCGTGTCATCGACGAACGCATAGTACACACGTGATTGCGTGGCGACCACCCCTTCCCAGTATTCGAAGTCTCTATTGTTCTCTGTATCGCGCTCTATGAGTGTCTCTCTCACAACTATCTCCTTCCCATCCACAACCTCTTTCATGATGAGCACTGTGTCGGCCATGTTGCGCCGCTTCGTCGAATAACTGAACCTGGCAATGGCTGCCTGTCCCCATGGTCAGGCGACGACACCGCACATACGACAGTAACACAATGCGTGGGATAAACACCGGACACAACGAATGCAGCACGGCGGCTTTGAGAAAAAAATTCATGTATTTGACAGTGGTTGGTTGTTTGGTCGGTTGGTTGGTTGGGTGGTCGGGTGGTTGGGTGGTTGGGTGGTTGGGCGGTCGGGTTAGGTGGTGAAAGTCCAACGAAACACCCACCTGCCTGGGTGGGTGGTTTGGTGGTTTGGGTGGGTGAATGGTTGTTTGGTTGGGTGGTTGGTTGGCTGGATGGTTGGTATCGTTGGGTGGGTGGTTGGTTGGATGGTTGGTAATTGAATTGGTTGGGTGGGTGGTTGGAATGAGTGGTTGGCCTAGGTGGTTGGGTGGGTGGTTGGGTGCGGTGGTTGGGTCGGTGGTTCGGTAGGGTCGTTGGGTGGGGTGGTTGGGTAGGGTGGTTGGGTGATCTACTTTCTTTCAGTGGGATTGGGTGGTTAAGTGGATGGGTGGGTGATTGGTTTAGTGGTTGGGTGGGTGGTTGGTTGGGTGGTTTAGTGGTTGGGTGGTAGGGTGGTTCAGTGGTTGGGTTGGTTGGGTGTTTGGGTGGTTGGGCGATTGGGTGGTTGGGTTGGTTGGCTGGTTTAGTGGTTGGGTGGTTCGGTACTTGGGTGGGTGGGTGGGTGGGTGGGTGGTTGGGTGCTTGGGCGGTTGGTGGTTTGGTGGTTGGGCGGTGGTTGGATCGTGGGCGGTTGGTGGTTGGGTGGTTGGGTGGTTGCATTGGTTGGGTTGTTTAGTGGTTGGGCGGTTGGGCAGTTGGGTGGTTGGGTGGTTGGGTTGTTTACTGGTTGGGTGGTTGGGTGGTTTAGTGGTTGGGTGGTAGGGCGGTTCAGTGGTTGGGTGGTTGGGTTGGTTGGGTGTTTGGGTGGTTGGG